CCACAATGACGTTCTCTCCTGGATTACACTGTTTGTAGACTAAATCTCTAAAATGTTTATAGTGGTCCTTTATCTACTCCCTAGATCCATTTTCTAATATTTCTCACCATATTTTTTTGAAGCTGGACTTTCTGGATCACAAAAAAGTTTCTGTGCCCTCCAGCTTTGGTTTGAACCAGGCAAGGACAGCCTTGGTGAAAAAACTAAGAGAGGGAGGTGGCATCATCATCATCGTCGTCATTATCATCATCATCATCATCATCATCATCATTTATTTTTGTTATTAATGTAACAGAAAGACTGCATTCCTCTAGTGGTTCAAATCCACTAGGAGCTTCTCAGGAGGGAGTTGACCAATCCCCTCTCACTGTGATGCACAGCTTCAGAAACCAGATGGAGCTTCCCATTGTGCCAGATTTAACTTTAAGGAAGTGAGTTGGGGCTTTATTCTGGGGCACTAGCTTCCATGTGCTAAATCTCTCAGTGCAGCCTGCTTTTTTCAGTGACTCTCCCTCTCAATTCCAGGAAACTACCCCTTCATTTACCTTGTCAGGTCACTTCCTTGGATTTCTGCATCATTTATTACGATTGCTTTTAAATTTGCTAAGCAGTCCCCTTATGAATAATACCTTATTAAAATTTTCCTTTGTCAAAATGCCTTCTGTTTTCTGTTAGAATTCTGACAGATACAAGAACAATTTGCTTTGTCTTTCTGAAAACCAAAAATGAAGTGGAAGATATAGCCTTCTTGATCTCAAAACTAACTAAACAGCTCAAATTACCCAAACAGTACAAGGACAAACACACAGACACATAACAGAATCAAGAGCACAGAAATTAACCTATTTACCTACCAACCACTTGGCTAACTGACTGGAAGAGATCTGTATTTGTTCCCATCCCAAAGAAGGGTGACCCAACACAGTGTGGAAACTACAGAACTCTATCATTGATTTCACATGTAAGCAAGATTCTACTGAAGATTATCCAAAAACAACTGGAACAGCACAACAGCAGAGAACTGCCAGAAGTCCAGGCTGAGTTTAGAAGGGGTCGTGGTACTAGGATATTATAGCTAATGTTAGATGGATCTTGGCTGAAAGCAGGGAATACCAGAGGAATGTCTATCTGTGTTTCATTGACTATGCAAAGGCATTTGATTATGTGGATCATAACAAACTGTGGCCGACTCTGAGAAGAATTGGAATCTTAGAACACTTGATGGTGCTAATGAGAAACCTATCCTTGGACCAAGAGGCAGTCGTCAGAACAGAGCAAGGAAACACTGCATGGTTCAAAATTGGGAAGGGCGTATGCCAGAGATGTGTCTTGTCTCCATACCTTTTCAACCTGTATGCAGAACAGATTATCCGAGAGGCTGGGCTCTATGAGGAGAAATGTGGAGTCAGGATTGGTGGAAGATCTACCAACAATATGCGTTATGCAGGTGATACACCCCTGCTTGCTGAAACTGAGGAGGACCTGAAGTGCTTGCTGCAGAGGGTCAAGGACTGCCACCTCCAATATGGATTGAGGCTCAATGTCAAGAAGACAAAGATTCTCACCACTGGACCAGTTGGCAACATCAGAATGGATTGAGATTGAGATTGAGATTGTTAACAGCTTTAGTTTGCTTGACTCCACAGTCAACACTCTTGGTACCAGCAGTCAGGAAATTAAAAGGTGTATTGTAGTGGGAAAGTCTGCTGTTAGGGACCTCTCCAATGTACTGAAGAGCAGTGGTGTCTCTCTGGAGACTAAGGTGTGTCTGATACAGGCCATGGTCTTTGTAATCACTTGTTATGCATCAGGGAGTCGGACAATAACTAGGGAGGATAGAAGGAGAATTGATGCCTTTGAGCTGTGGTGCTGGAGAAGAGTATTGAATGTACTGCTAAGAAGACAAACAGGTTCATCCTGGGGAGTGTTAAACTGGATTGCTCCTTGGAGGCAAGGATTCTGAGGCTTTTTCTGACATATTTTGGATATGTTGTAAGGAGGGACAGGTCCTTGGAGAGGGACCTCATACTTGGGAGGGTGGAGGGACAGCGCAGGAGAGGAAGGCCCTCTGTGAGGTGGATTGATTCAGTGACTGGGGTAATAGGGATGGGTGTGTCAGAGACAGTGCGATTGGCACAGGACAGAGCAGGGTTTAGGGCTATTGTACATAGGGTCGCTATGAGTAGCAAGCGACTCGATGGCACATAACAACACCAACAACAACACCTACCAGTCAACTGGTATTTGAAAAGAAAACAAAGCTTTCTAAGTTTGTGTTCCTTTTTTATCCAGCAGTTCATTCTTTCTTCCACTTTGTATTGCATGATATGTTTAAATTTCCCCCCACCCCTTCTTAATATTTTATCATATTCAGGAATAAAAGCATACATTCCTTGTTTGAGACTCTGAATTTATAATATGAGATCATGTGTTAATAAAACTGAGATATCTGTGCCAAGAAATCTGGAGGACAGCCACCTGGCCAACTGACTAGAAGAGGTCTATATTTGTTCCCATTCTAAAGAAAGGTGTCCCAAAACAGTGCAGAAATTATTGATCAATATCATTGATATCATATGCAAGAAAGATTTCTGTTGAAGATTATCCAAAACCGACTGGAACTCAATAGAAAATTGCCTGAAGTGCAGGCTGGGTTTTGATGAGGCCATGGTACAACAGATATTATAGCTAATGTTAGATGGAGCTTGGCTGAAAGCAGAGAGTACCAGGGGAATGTCTATCTGTGCTTCATTGACTGCGCAAAGTAATTTGTGTAAATCATAACAAACTGGCTAACTCTGAGAAGAACGGGAATCCCAAAACACTTGATTATGCTTGTGCAAAACCAATACTTGGACTAGAAGGCAGTCATCAAAACAGAGCAAGGAAACAGCATGGTTCAAAATTGAAAAGTGTGTACACCACAAATGTGTCCTATCTCCATACCTTTTCAACCTGTATGCAGAACAGATTATCTGGGAGGTTTGGGCTCTATGAGGAGAAATGTGGCATCAGGATTGGAGATAGACTCATCAACTATCTGCGTTATGTAGATGATACACCCTGCTTACTGATGTTGAGGAAGCCTGAAGCACTTGCTGCAGAAGATCAAAGACTGCAGTTTTCAATATGGATTGAAGCTCAACATCAAGAAAACAAAGATTCTCACCGCTCAGCAGATTGGCAGCCTCATGATAGATGACGAAGATATTGAAATTGTTAACAGCTTTTCCCACAATATACCTACCATCAGCATAACAAAACATAATAAAATCAATTTAACAATCAGCGTAATAATACTGTGCCACTGGAATACGATACATAAAATGTCCTACTTCCCCCCCTTTCAGATCCTTTATATATTTTTCCTATTATATGCAGTCAAATTACTTATTTTGAAACTAAGACAATTTATTCTTGATGCAGTAATATCACTAGCTGGGATATATATTTAACATATTTTGTTTTAGTTTTTATGATATTTAAGTATCACATTTAATTTTTTCATATCACTACATAAAATATTTAGATGTTACCAAAGCAAAAGAGGGCATATTTAAGCTTATTTTCAGAAGAAAAACTTTGTTTAATATACACACAAACATGTACAAAAAGTGTGATTCCTGGATTATTTATGCTCACATAAGGATATTAAGGACAACTTATACTTAATAACGTACTACCATAAAGACTATTGTATGAAATCTTGTGACTAAAACACAAAACTTTGTGTGGTTTATGAAAACATTCCATAGCTGCTCAAAGTAAGGAAACACCTTGTGCATTTAAGTCAGAATTTTAAGTCTAAATACTTTCTGCATTTTAAGGTTGCCCTAAACACTGCGTAGAGAGTGTTGCTTGATATTTGGCTTTAACCTGTTTCTTTTTTATCCATGTAACTACACTTACTGTGGTGTTAGCCTAAAAGCTGTCACCCTTTTTCGTTTTTCTTTTTTTTAACAAAGCCATTACAGTTAGCCCTGTCTGGTCTCCAGCTGCCTTAACTGTACACATATGGTCTTGCAAATCAGTATGATCTTGAAAATCACCTAGCTGTGGGGCTAGGATAAGGGAAATTGTGCTTCCCACAGTAGGCAGCAAGACTTGTGATGGCAAGACGTGAGGGAGACTGGAGCAGATTCTGTTGGTCAAACCCTGGTGATGGTGTAGAGAGACTGTGGCATTGCTGACTGTGGCACTGCTGTGGACAAACAGTGACAAAGTGTGACCTGAGGCTTATTGCATTTATGCTGGCCAAGTTAAAGGTTTTTGCTGTTCTTGCCAGATGATTGAAGGAGAAGCTAACTTATAACTGCTCTGAGACAAACCTTGCTGGATGATTTGGTTGTAACTGAGTTATATGGATGAAGCTGTTAATGTCAGACTTTATGGACTCATATAACTAGATGAACATTTACATTTATGTTGACTCGGGGGTTCTGATTCATGGTGTGCTATTAATCTTGGTGCACAATATAATAAAAATAGATACATAGTAAAAGTTAGCAGAATTTTTTTCAAATGCCTCTCTAGGTTCTAAGAATTCTTCACTGCCCTTTGGTATAGGACAGAAAACACTTTTATTTATGTTTGAAAAGGTTAGCATCAAGAGTAAAAGTTAAAATGGGATTCAGGTGATCTTTGCTACACAGAAAACTCAGTTGGTCAGAACACTTATCGTCCTGCACACACACTGTTCCTCATTTCCCGACTGCAGTAAAATCTTAGAATAACTATTTTATATCTGCCTTGCAACAAGATATCCCCCACAAAACATCATGACAAAAATATTAAATGCATGTGGTAGCAGTAATTTTATTCCCTAAACAGTTGTCTCTAAAAATCTTGCTATAAATCCAAGTTATCTAACATACTGTCAAGTTTGATCACCTACAATATTTTCCCTGCATTATACTTCCAATAGAATTTTCAGCTTCTAAACCCAGAGTGGAAGAAGTAAAAAAACAAAAGCTAAAACAGTCCTCCAAGAGTTCACTTACCTCTGTTTACCTTTATGATCTACAGAGCCTGCTGAGAGTCTGTCCAGTGGAGATCCAAACCCAGAGAAGCTCCTTTTCTTCTTTGTCTCAATCACATCATTCTCCAGGGACACGAGTTCATCAAGAAGCAAGAGTTTTGCTGCCAAATCAGTAGCTGATTTCTCTCCCCCAGTTGTGGGCTGTGACTGTCCATTCATGACTCCAGAATCAAAGATCTGTAGGAAACCGAGAGGCAATTCCCTACATTGAGATATCAAAAACAACCCCCTAATAATTACAGTCCTCTGCCGCTGAATTCCGCTAACCTTTAGTTGACATGACCTTCATGAAACATTTTTCTATATCTCTTGGAATTATACTCTGAAAAGGTAGTTAGACTTTTTAAAAAAAATTTAATTTTAATTAAGGTTTACAAAGACTTTGGATTTCCATTCATTCATTGTTGCACTTTTTTCCTGCCCTCTCCATTTGTTCTTCTCTTTGAAGAGTAAATGAAAAATTCTTTCATTGTTAAACAATCCCTCCCCCCAAGTCCACTCCACTATGCAGCCTTTGTTCTGGATTCCTGCCATGATAATAATACATAATCATACGTGCTTTTTAAACAGTTCTCTCCCTCATCTGTCTCAATGCAGTATACATTATTTATCCCATATTTCTCAGTCTTCCCCCATTCCTGATGTCAGTCCTGTTTTACAACAGTGGCACTATGCAATATTTGTCCTTTTGTGACTGAAATATTTCACTCAGCATAATGCCCTCCAGGGTCACCCAGTTTGTATAATATTTCAAGAATTTCTTGTTTTTCAATGCAGCATAATATTCCATTGTGTAAATACACCAGAGATTCTCTATCCATTTGTTTGTTGATGGACACTTGGGTTGTTTCCAACTCTTTGCTATTGTGAACAAAGCTAAACACGGGTGTGCAATAGTTAGACTTTTGAGGACTGAAGCATGAAGAACTTAGATCCACTCAAAATAAATAAATAAAAAAATTAAAACAAAGGAAAGAAAAAATAAAAAATAAGTCATGTCTCTGCAATATTAATTGATTATTCTTTTTGATGCTTTCCCAGGAACAACTGCATTAATCCTTATCAATCCTGAAGCTTTCATTATCATTATCTTTTTACCTAGAATACTTATATTTTATGTTGATTATACATGAGTAACTTGAGGGTAAATATTATGTTTCATTAATCTTTTATTAACTCTAGTTAATGCCTAATGCAGAAGAGTTAAACAAAATAAAAACTCATACTCAAAACCCAGTAATTTACATTGAACTAACTCTAATTCATTACAACTTCCTGTGTGTCAGAGTAGATGTTCGCTCCATAGAGTTTTCAGTGGGTGATTTTTCATAAGTAGGTTGGGCTTTCTCAGAGCTGCCCCTGGCTGTTGAACAACCACTTTTGGGTTAGCACCTGAGCATATTTAACATTTGTACTACTCATTTAAATGTCTTTTGAGTGTTCATGGTTAGTACTCGATATACTTCAGACAAATACTGTTGAATAGATTCTGAGAAATTGAAATCTCATGTTATTTTCTTTTTCTGCACGTTAATTTATTCAAGTAACAGTTACTAAGCATCTACTATGTGCTACATAGCAGTGTATATTGCAAAGCAGATTCTTCTTTGTTGTTGTTATTGAGTGTCTTCAAGTTGAGCAAGACTGATAGTGACCCTCTGAAAAAAAGACCTGAACCCTATTCTATAATTATGGTAATTTATCTTATGTTCATAGAGTTTCCAGAGGCATGTGGTTTAGGAAGTGGAAGCCATCCTGCTTCTAAACTTGCATTAATCTGGCAGTGCCATCAAACACTGTCCACCATGGGTAACCATTATGGCATTTGACACACCAGTGACACAGTATTCAGCATCACAGCTACTCCAAGTTACTTCAGTACAGCAAATTGACAGACCAGCGCTGTACTCCTTAGAAGAATGTTCATCTCAAACACAATTAATATGAGGCCCAATGGCCACAGACATGAGGACCCTACCACTTTATTTTTTAAATTTGAAATTGATTTTAATGAAAGTTTACAGAGACTTTGGATTTCCATTATTGCACTTTTCTCCCTGCCGACCTTACTCCCCCAATTAGCTTCTTTTTGAAAAGTAAAAGAAAAAGTTCTTTCATTGTTATTCAATCCATCCCTCCCCAAATCCACTCTACTATGCCACCTTTGTTCTGGACTCTGGTCATTAACAATAATATTTAAACACAAATATATAATATATCCTGTCTCTGCCTTCAGGGATCTTACTATAATTATCCATGTAATAAGTTTGGTCAAAATTGTTAATATTTTGACATGCAAACAAATTTTCTATCAAAGCACTTCAGCTTGTATAATTTATTTAATTATGCATACATCTTCATGACTTATAGGCTTTTTTTGATCAAGGAACACAAATCTTGGTTTTTAATTCTAATATAACATACCCGGCTCTCTCTGATAACTATCTCTGAAGCTAAAAAAGGTGAGGTTAATGATTATCACTCCTTATATGTGAAATGTAAACTTTGCATGTCATGTTGAGAATAAAAGCAAAGCAAATAAAAATAAGTCTTTGTGATTGATTTTTTTTTCAGGGTGCATTCTTATTTGTGTGCTGCACTGATTTTTGTTGCATTGGCTACATTCATAAAGCTTTGATAGTCCCTTAGGCTAGTTTCCATTACCTCTGTTGCTACATCCACTGAGAACACTTTTCCTGAGCTCCACAGCATCAACATCACAGCCAGGATGAAATGTGCTCTTGCCACTCTCCAGCCCAGCATCTGAGGGTCATGCACATTAGGGTGAACATTTATTAGTTTGGCATACAAAGATAGAAAAACCAAGAGCTCCTATAAAACGTGTTAGAGGCAAGTGATATGCCAAATTGTTTCCCTATTATGTGCTGGCAGGCACCTCAGCAAAACTTTTGATGAAAATAACATTTGATGAAAGCTATCCATTTTCTCACCTATGGATTCTATCAAGATATCCTTTCCATGGAATCCTGGGCTAGGGCTATATAGCTATAATCATAATTTAATGCAAAATAACCCAAGTTCTGAGAAATCCAGTTCATAAAAAGAGTGCTGTGTTTTGACTATCTCATTAAAATATTAAAATTTCGAGTACCTAAAAGTATATGTGTGAAATGAGTCAAGTGTAAATGTAATCAGGTCTTATGGAGTCTCTGGTGTACTAGAAGTATGCCATGTATCTAGAAGTATTTACATTTAATTTTTCAGTAACATCATGGAACCAATAGGACACGATCTCTATATTCTTGCATTATATGTGAATTTTTTAAAAGATGATTCAAAAGGTGAATATCATGAAAAAATAGACACATTTAATTATACCAAAACTGAAACTGCACCTATGTGCAATAAATAAAACAACAAATTACAAGCAGTAAGACATTTTCAGTATATATATAAAAATAATACCCCAAACATGTAAATTTAAAATGGTATCAGGATGGATGAAGAGATTGAGATTGTTCACAGCTTTAGTTTGCTTGGCTCCACAGTCAACACTCTTGGCACCAGTAGCCAGGAAATTAAAAGAC